TGTCAAAGTGAAGCGGAGTGTGAATTCTTGAGGTCCAGAAGACAGGATCTCTCTTTGCTGGCTTCTGCTCCAGGTCTCCTCGAGGTCAACTGGATTCTGGGCTTCAGAAAAATCCTGCTGCGATTGCATCATTTAATTGTCCTAGGGTAACATCACCACAAATTTATAGTAAAGAAAGATTTTATTCGGCCTATGTTCCAAGAGGCAAAAGTGGGAAACAGACAAGCATGCTGCCAGAGCTATGTCTGCCCAAGTCCAGGGAATGTTACAAAATAGGCAAAAGTAGGAAACGGACAAACATGCTGCCAGAGCTATGACTGCCCAAATACAAAGAAGGTTACAGAATCGTCACTATATATTGACATTACAAATGGGTAAAATCATTAAAAGATTCATCTTTTCACAGATTGACTAAAAACTGCTAAATCACTGTGATTCTACATTTTAAATTGTCTTTCTTAATACGCATTGGTAGAAATTTCATTAATGACAGTCAGGAACATCTTCATTGGTCCAAGAAATCTTGCTGTTTACTAAATGTGAATAGAAAAATATGAGTGGAAAACATGCAGATCTTATATGCTTTATCTAAGTATTTGTTTTCATGAAAGTTTTCCTAAAAAAAGTTTTCCAAGATTGTCCTAGCTATTGTTTTTATCCCTCAAAGACCAGTTTGATGTGTCCTTGTGAGTCCTTGTTGCCCCAGCTGAGTCACATTCTTTATATTCAAGGACAGGGGATAAAAGCTCCTTAACTTCTAAGTCACTTCCATGGAAAATCATTAATTTTCCTCTTTTTTTCTTTGCTTATTTAAGTCAAACCCTTGCAATAAATTGTAAATGACAAAATAAACATAATATAGTTCATGATAGATTCTGAGTTGTCAACACCATAGTTAGAAGTCCCACAAATGTCTGTTTTCTTTCAATTCCAATGACAAGGCCTTCTCTCTGTCTCATCTCACAGACCCGAACTCTGCTTCCATGTATTTGACAGTCATTTCTCAAAAAGGGAAGCCACGTGCTGTCATTGTGAGTTGTAAGCCACCCCTGGAAGCCAGCTGGAAAATTTTCGGTAAGCATCTAAGCTGAATTTTCAAGCATGCTCTGCCTTTGCCTGTTACTATTTACCTCTTGCACTATGCAGGCCTTTTGTGTATCCTTTCCTGTTTCAACATCTCCATTTCTCCCTAACCTTCTCTAATTTTCTCCCTTCGCCCTACACGGACGGTGGAATTCTTCTAATGGTGCATAGAACCCCCCCCCACACACACACACATCTCATTCCAGTTGCCTCATGAAGGATATGTATTTAAATTAGTATAGAACTTTTGTTTTTCATTCTATGGAGCATTAGAACAACTTTTAATGGAGTGGATCTGAGCATAAAAGATGGAAGAGAAGCCGCTTGGCGGTTATGACACACGAAAAACACCTAATGACCACCCGTTTTTGTATGACACATAAGAAGGAAGTTTGACCAGGGGTTTTCACTTTCTCACTTAGCTTTTAGCTTCTCACTGAAATCATAATGTTCAGAAAATACATAGTATTAACTGATAGAAATTGAACTTAATGAATATTTCACAGTGACCGATTTTATTTTGCCAAATTTTGCTGATAACATCCTACTTAATTAAAGCTTCCATTAGAAGCCTGTAATGTTAATTTAGTATAAAAAAAATAATGGAGTTATCTCAGGGATTTTGCATTTACATAATCCCAGGAGGTTTTAATAGATGTCTCCATAGCAAATAATTATTATGAAAAATATTGTCTGACTCAGAACATGCACATTATAGTCTAATTTCAGCTGTGTGTTAGACACACGTAAGAGTCACTCTTTTTTCTTCTTTTATACTTGGCATTTATACTTCACAGAAATGCAAGATCTGGAGAATGCAGGGCTTAACATGGTTCTTAATAGGTTTTATCATATTTGAGGAAAAATAAACCACACAGCTTCAAATTAAAGGAAAAAAAAGCAAAAAAAAAATTGTGTCAATAAAGCTCTTCTCTCTGGGTAAGTTGAGTTTCTTTTTTTCTTAGAATTTATACCATGGCACTGCAGTTCTAATTTTTATTTCTGGTTACTACCTTAACTATTAGCAAGTTAATTCTGAATATTTTTACATTTTTGTGGGTACTTCTTTCTATAG